TGGATCAGGCTTCACACAAGTTTATAGGGGCCCTGAAGAGTCATGTGCACTTTCTTCCTTTTTTCACATACCTGGGCTTCAGGGAGAGAGGCTTGCCCCACCAGAGGGGGGCATGGTCCTCCCAGACCATCTCACAGGAACAATCATAATAGCTCTTCCAGGTTACAGAAGTCAAAGCTGCCTATCAGATTCATTAAGGTACACCAATTTCTATTGCCATCTGCACACAAGGAAGTAATGTGGCCAGCATCACATCCATCTGCCTTCGATTCCGCAGGTGTCCATTTGTCAACAATGGACTCTAAATCTCAATGCTAGTTAATAGTTCACAGTTCCTTTAGTAGTTCAGAGTTTCTTTAGGATTCATTCACTGTTGAGTTAAAATTTAAACTCAAAATTCAAATTGAAACTTTAGCACTGTTGTCATTTCTATAGTAATTTATTTTCTTGGACAGTTATTTCCTACCTACAGAAATGAGTAAACTAATGGCTGAAGTAATGACTGCTTGTGTTAATTAATAGAAGGTTTCAAAATGTTCATGAATATTTCACTGTTACGATTTCTTCTGCAGCAGGTGTTCTGACTTCCACCAGGATAGTATTGCTTTATCCCCTATTTCTTATGCAATAGAAATTGTAACATTTATTTGGCTGCATGAGAAGGACAGTCTAAAAGAGGTTGATCCTTTCTAAATTGGAATCAATGGGATTGCCCCTATTAAAGTGTACAGGATCACATTCTGAATGAGATTTTTAATTAAGATAGTAATGAACAGAATTCATACTTTAGACTTCAATCCTATTTTCTTTTAATATATTTCAAGGGGGAAAATAAATCCTTTAAAATATTGCTTTGATGTTTCTGCACATAAATATATGAAAAGCATAGTCTATTTTCTGTCGAATGTGCTTGAAAGCTGGGATAAGACAGTAGTGACATTGGAACAGTGGAAATTAGTTTATTACTGATCCACAGTAAAATAGCCAAAGGGAGAAATGGCACCCCAGAGATTACTTGGATTTGTGCATTTCTGCTGGCAAAGTTTACAGGCCTGTAAATTTAAATGTAGAATTTTTGTAGGCAGAATGCATTGACAAATATGCCTAATGGTAATACATCTAGTACTGAGAGTCTCAGAACAGGTCAATAATAATGCTTATATTGATAGCAGCAGTGTAGGAGATGTTACTTGGTATTATAGCTAAAATCCATGTTATCCCCTTAATCATAATTACATTAATATTGACAGGCTGTTGACAATACCCACATTACTATTGATAGATTTCTGTCAATAACATGTTTCTAAATAAAATATATTCATTCATAATTTGTACAATACTCAATAACAGCTCTAAAATATATCAGAAGAAATTTCTATTTCCTTGGTGATATGCAATAATTTGTTTTGTTATTAAATGTGCTGTACAAGAGGGAATCTTGATTTTTAGGGAGGAAATGGCTAAAACATTATTTAAGACGAGGGTATTATGTAATGTTGGAAAAGTTTTTTTTTCCCATTTTGTTCCTGTGAAAGAAAAACAATAGCATACATGGTGCTAACATGTCAGCAGGGGGCTTTTTAAATAGTATTTCATTCTAAATCATTTATCTTAAAAATACAATTTAATGTAGTAAGTTAATCACACTGACTTTAGTAGAATGTATATACTTTTTATCTGTTCCTGATTTTTGCCTTAAGCATTCCCTTTACATATCCTTAGCTTGTTGGCACTTTTATTGAAAACTGGTTTTTGCCTTTATACTAAGAGTACATTGTTGTTGTTGTTGTTGTTGTTGTTGTCATTGCCGTCATCATCAGTAGCTGTTATTTTGGTCTATAATTTGGGCCTCTTCATTCATTTTAAATTGTCTAAAATAAACCAATGTAAGGGGGAAAGGAAAAGATAAACAGAATTTACTGAGAAGGTATGTAGTAAGATGAAATTTGTTGCAAGACCTGTAAAACATACAGAAGAATATGAAATGAAACAGATAAACTGGAATATATTGATACCAAAAGGCTGTATTTTTATTTATTTCTGAACAGATACCAAATTGCATAATTGCTTCATTTGTAGAACCAGTACTGATTCAAATGATATAATGTATAACAACACAATGAAAAGATTTTGAATGGGGAAAAGTGATCAGAGGAGATCTTAAATTGTTAGTAAAGGAAAGAGGTGGATTTAAAAAAAACAAACAGTAAAATGAGAAGCCATGGTCGTAAACCCAACTGTGATGGTCCCTCAGAGACTCAAATTTCTCCCCACTGTGCTACAACTTGCCCCAAGGAACAAACCGAGAATGCATTTACCCCAGCAAGCCTCAACTCTACTGCCATTATATGCCAGACCCTGCAAGTGGAATGAGAGTACCTCTGCCTGTTGGAAGGAGAATTTTGAAGACATTCTCAATTGAGACTGTTGTTCACGAGAGTGTTCGCAACTCCATCCCACAACACCCAGTCAAAGACTACCTCTAAATCCCGCTAGCCCTTGACAAGTGGAGGAAAGCCATTAAGCAGATGAAGAACTACAAGGCATCTGGAACTCTTGGAATCCCCGCTGAAATCTTCAAGGCAGGGGGGGGGAGCTGACATCACAGCTCCTGCCCTCATCTTGAGGATTTGGAATGATGAGGAAATCCCAGATGACCTCAAGGATGCCATGATTATGACAGTCTCCAAGACAGGAGACAAGTTCAACTGCGGAAATTAGAGATTGCCTTGCTGTCTACCACAGGAAAGATCATTGCAAGAACCCTCCCTTCCACTTGCTGAATATCTCCTCCTAGAATCTCCATGTGGATTTAGGGCATCAAGAGGCACAACTGACATGATCTTCACAGCTGCAGGAAAAATGCGGGGAACAACATAAACCTCTCTATATGGCCTTCTTTGACCTCTTAACCTCTGAGGTTAAGATGGGAGTTAAGCAGGACTGTGTCATAGCTCCAACACTCAATATTCCTTACTGTGATGCTACAGCTGACTACAAACAAGCTTCCAGCTGGAGTGGAGCTAAACTACTGAATTGATGGTAAGCTGTTAAATATCAGCCAACTTCAAGCCAAAAGAGATCTCACCATGGTGAGACTCTTCAAGCCAAAACCTAGACCATCCTGACTTCAGTCGTCGAGTTCCAGTACACAGATGTTGCCCTGGAGCTATTTGATTCAGCCCATGTATTGGGACTTCGGCAGCTTTCAGCAGCGGGGAGCTCTGGCAGCAGTCTCTCTTCTCTGCCACTTCAGGAAGAAACACTTGCTGTAGGTGCTTTCCCTATGCCACTGCGGAGAAAAGTGTCAGTCTGTGGTGGGTTCTAGTACCTACCAACCCACTTGTGATCTGGACTGGGTCACTCCAGCCTAAAGCCTTAAAAAGTTGCTCGCTGCTTACCCTAGACCACTATGACTTTCACGCCAATCTCTCTTTCAGATTCTGCCTTTTGCTTTTCACAAATAGACAACATGGGACTCAATGGAAACTTTGCATCCAAGTGCAGAATCTGGCCATCTACATATCGATTAAAGATCCCACAAACCCTAGATAAGTAGAGGCTTCATCAAAACCTCTAGCAATAACAGGAAGAGTGTATAATACAGTGGCCTCAACCCAGCAGAGCACCTAAGCACATGCATAACTTTAAACTGGTGAATTATCCTGTTAAAGTAAAAATTATGCATGTGCTTAAGAGGCTTGCTGGTCCCAGGCCGGTGTTAACAGATGTGGTCTGTAGTGAGCTTCCACTAGGCTTAGTAACAAGAATATAAAAGTAGTTTACAAGTACAAGTAGTTAATATACAATTTCCATAAACTTAATTTTCATAACTTAATCTAAGAATTTGTAACTACTCACACTGGCAAAAACAAAGGCACCACTCAGCTTTGCTTATATGATAATGTCATGGACAATTAGAAAGAGAAGAAAGGATACTTCAAGGGAAGGTGCTTTTATGTAAAGTGCCTACATTTTTATTCTGGTCTCCTTCCCTTTTCAGATGGTTTCTCTCTAGAGCATACATGGAAAATTTATCACACCTACTTAAGTTTTGCCTCTGCAAAATGTTTCTTTCAAATAGTACTAACTCTTCTGATATGTAAGTTACAAATGCTGCTCTGAAATTGTTATACATTGAGCTTTAATTGCAGATATGAATAGGATTTAAAATTTTTGGTAGTGTTACCGGTTTATCGGCTTTTTTTCACCATGCATTCACCTGTCACCCGTTCTTCCTGTACAGGGCCATCTGACTAAAAGGGGAACCTGTACACTTAATAAAGACCCAGTGTTATTTTAGCTTTCCCCTCTGACAAGTACAGACTTAAAGCAGAACATCGTAGTATTGGTAAATTTCATTCCATGCTTTTGCTAGGAAGTGCAGCAGTTCTCAAACTGTGGGTCATCATCCCACATGGGGTCACACCATCAGTGGATGAGGTCGCAGGGGTGGGGTGGGCTGCAGGTTGGGAGTGAGAGGCCATACTGAGGAAATGGGATCATGCTGAGGAAATGGGGCCATAAATGAGGTCATGCTGAGGAAAAGGTTGGGAAGCACTGCTTCCCTACCTGACTGATTTAGTAGGTAAAACATACTACGCCCAGAAACTATAAATTCATGTTGGTCTGATTTGCCAGGAATCCAGCTCAGAATCCAAAGCCTGTACACTTAACAACCAACAAGGCTGGCTAATACCCCAATTTAATATATGTTTAAAAAAAAACTAATCAGGCATCCCCAGTGGACTCGTTCATTATCTGAGAAGTTATGCCATGGCTTTTATGCAAAATTGTTTTGATTTTGCACTGCATACTACTACTTTTTTTTGTTTTTCCTTTTCAAATGGTATGACATGATCTTATATTGACCAAGCAAATCTCTCATCGTAAAACTCAGGCAAGAAGAGTATGCATTAGTTGATGTTACTAGTATACATTAATCATCTTGCCAGAAAATTTGTTATACAGCTGGTAGCAAAACTCTGCACCTGTCAAAAGAGATTAGAAAATACATGCAGGCTTCAGTGATGTATTGTAAGATAATTTAAGTTCAAGCACTGAATATTTATTTGATCTCATTTAGAATCTTTTATAAACAGAACATATCACTGTCTTTAAGGCACTGTCATTCCCAATTTGTTTTCAGCCTTTTTTTTTTTTCATATGTGTAGTTTTCATATCTCCTAAAATATATTTTTCATTATCAGGTTGAGATGGGTGGGTACATCAAGGTTTTTCTTTGCTACCCTCCCTTAAGATTTTACTTGCTGTACTCATTTGCCCCATTACGTTCCATAAGATACTTTATAGTTTTACAATTCCTGTTCCTGATACTCCTCCTAATTTTAATACTCAGTCGATCTTTTAGAGTCAGGAAATGTGTTCACTTTCACAGTAAAATGTTAAGTCTTTGAGAGAGAATGTAAATAGCTGAAAGAAAGTGTAAGCCTTCTGTACGGCCAAATGAATGTGTTAAATCTGGAAAAATAGTTCAGTTTAAAGATGAAAGTTCTGTTTTAATGTAAGATGTCTTAAATAGTGCTGGTTGCAGTGCATAATGCCATGCTGATGTTGCCTGTAGAGAAGGCCCTGTTATTTGTTTATTGTTGGTATTTCACAATTTTGTATGAACTTCATTAAAGACATGTATAAACAATAGGAAATGTTAAATTTCAGAATAATTTATTTGAATTTCTTCGTAGAAAACAGTGGCGAAGACATGGCTGCTAGTGACAGTAATGCTGAGAGTGTGAATCCTGTGCTCAGAGTAAGTCAGCTGGATGCTCTTGAACTAAACAAAGCCCTGGAGCAATTGGTTTGGTCTCAGTTTACCAACTGTTTTCATGGATTTAAACCAGGGGTGCTGGCACATTTTGAACCAGAAGTAAAAGCATTTTTATGGCTTTTCCTGTGGAGATTCACCATCTATTCTAAGAATGCAACTGTGGGACAGACTATTCTGAATATTCGGTATAAAAATGACTTGTCTCAGACAGAGAAATACCAGCCATTGAGCAAACACCAGAAATTATGGTATCTTATTTGCAGTGTTGGTGGAAGGTGGTTGGAAGAAAGATGTTATGATTTATTCAGCAATCGTCACCTGGAGTCTTTCTGCAAAACCAAACATTTTATTAATTTTGTTGCTGGACTTCTAAAAATTGGTGGACTACTAAACTTTCTGGTCTTTCTTCAGAATGGAAAATTTGCAACACTGACAGAACGTATTTTAAGAATTAGATCAGTTTTTTGTCAGCCTCAGAATGTTCGCCAAATAGGATTTGAGTACATGAACAGAGAACTTTTATGGCATGGCTTTGCTGAATTTCTAATCTATCTCCTGCCTCTTATTAACATGCAGAAGCTGAAAGTCAGAATTTCTTCTTGGTGTTTACCTATTGCAGGCCTTTCCAATAGCGAAAACACTTTAGTAAACTACTGCAAGGAATGTTCTGTATGTGGAGAATGGCCTACTATGCCTCACACCATAGGCTGTCCACATGTTTTCTGCTACTATTGTATTAAAAGCAACTATTTATCTGACATGTATTTTACCTGTCCCAAGTGTGGTATGGAGGTACACAATCTTCAGCCACTGAAATATAAAATTGAAATGACAGAAGTAGACTTCCTCTAGAGTTTTTCTGCACTGCACATGAAGTGCGCACTTTATTCTAAAGTGCAGACTACTCAGAACCACTGTTAAGTTGATCTTTTTTAATTGTTTGTTTACAGCAGAACTTTTCCTGTTTTATTTACAATAGATTAAAGTCCTTATTGCTATTAATTTAGATGTACAAATGATAAATCGTAATTTAACAAATATTCCAATATCAGAGGTCAGTGGGAATATATTATTTGTAGTTATCTACATAGTTAATCATTTTAATCAGCTGCCTTACATAATCATTATAGAAAACTTTCAGATGTTATAATTCATGCAACAGATTCACCACATCGCCAGAAGAAAATGGAGAGCTGTAAAGCAGGAAATAGTAGCAAAAACCTGTTCACATTCAATCTATTGTAACCAAACTTGCAAGTATGTCATTCAATGTCATTCAGACTTTTTTTTTGCAAGTGTGCACTGTTAATCCAGTGTTGTTCAGTCACTTTAAAATATGCACAGCAGTAAATCTTATCCCAATGATTGTTTAATTTCTCTGGATATGCCATTTCAGGATATTAAATGAATGCCACTTCACCTGTTATAAGTTTTGGGGTGCTTTTGTTGGTTTTATGTACTTATGTATAGCATCATATACTACAGAGCTAAGTATGAGTTTCTCTTATTAATTTTCTTCATTGTGCCACAACACTATAGATATCATCAGTTTTAGTGCAGCTTTAAAGACCATCAAACAAAATGATAGCTAATCAGAATTTTTTTTCTCCACAATTAACTATATAGTTTAAAACAAATCAGTAAGTGAAATTTCACCTCTGTTGGGGTCAAAACTCCCATTGATACAGCCAGAATTTCATCCAAAGTATCCAGAAAGCATTTGTCATTAAATTAACATTCTAGGTCTAAAACTTCAGTACTTGGCTACTTCTTCGCATTGTTAAGATAATACATATACATTATTATTTTTTAAATAGGATCGTAATTGTTCTGGTGCATTGCAGCATTAACAATTCAAAAATGTATTTATTATGATATGAAAGAGATTTGCCAATAAACAGACTCAGAGATAACCAAAGGATAGCTGCTTTTTTAGGTTTACTTATAGTCTGAGTAAAATGCCACTCTAAGCATTATATTCTCATCTAAAAGCTCAAATAAAAGATCTGATGGCATGTACCATAATCTAAATGTTCAAGCCCCTGTTCAATGTTACTTATAAAAAGAGGACTAAATAAATTAAAAGCTTTGTTTAGTTTTCTGTTGTTCAACTACTATTGGAATGTTCTTCTTCCCAAATTAACCAGTGTATCTGCGGAACTGATCAATACCTAGAACCTATGAAAGATACAAAATCAGAACTCTTGACTTTTTACTTATGTTTGGGAGTAACCAGCCTTTTTACCTAATTGCAGTTTTGCTTGCTTCAGACACACCAATGTGCAATAAGATATATGATTGTATCTCTTCATTGGATCAACAAATGTGAAAATAAAAACACGGCCTAAATGGATTAACTTCTTGGAATAGATGGGACCTCCTGCATTATACAGACCTGATTTCTGCTATTTCCAGGTAACCACAATATGTAATCCCATTGGTAAAAGGAAAAAAAGACTAGGAGTAGCAGCATAGTAGAATTAAAAGACAGTAGGGCCAATCTGAGCTGAACAGTAGATAGTAGTGTTAGGAATATCCAAATAGCCTGGACAAAATTTATTTATCTCTCAATGGCTGCTTGTCTACACCATGGGGGTTTGCTTCGGTTTAATTCTCCCTAAATTGAAGTTGTGGGTTTTTAAAAACACCTTTTCAATTTAGGGAGAATTAAACCAAAGTAAACCCCTGTGGTATGTACACAAGGGTTGGGCCCAGTCCCTACCTACCCCTCCAGCAGCAGTGGGGGAGGAGAGAGGGACAAGCTGCTGGCGGGCCAAGTGGTCTCTGAGCTGCAGGGGAGCCGGTGCTTCCCTCCATAGCAGTGATGGCACCTGCCTGCAAGCGCCTGGCCCGGGCAGTCCCGGGGGGCACTGCAGCCATGGAGGGAAGCACCATGTCCCCCGCTTCCTCCCCCTCCCTGCAGCTGCGGAGGGAAGCACCAGGCCCCCACACAGCTCAGGCAGGCAGGCTCCGGGGAGGGAGGGGGAAAAAAAAAAAAACAGGCTTGCCGCTTTTTCCTTCAGTGGAGCCTGCCTGCGCATCCCCTGGGCTGCATGGGACCCAGTGCTTCCCTCCATGGCTGTTGCACTTTGTTAGGTAGCAAACTAAAACACCTTGGAGGCATTTTATTTTGCTACGTCCCAAAGTCATTTAAAGCACAATACGCTGCTGACAGTGTAAACAGCAGCATCATTAAAGCAGTGCAAAAGGGCATTTAAGATGCTTTAAAGGCCAATTTTGTGGTGTGTATAAAGGCCCCATAATACTAAAATGAGACTTCCATGATTGAGAGAGTGATGGCTGAGAGAAGCTTGGGCAGAGTTAAAGAAGTTTAAAGGAATGTGGACATAAAGTGCTAAATCCAATTTTACATTTTTGTACCTAAGTGGCACCTACATAGCTTTGCAAATGAAATGTTTGGCATTTACGCAATTAAAATTCTGTTTATTTGCATAGCTACGTGCACCTTGTACTCTCATCCTAAGGATGCCCAGAAAGCTGCCCTTGGTTATTTAGGCTTTGGTGTAGAATAAAGATCACCCAGGCATATGCATAAAAGCATGCAAGTCCCAAAACTTTAGTTGTCGAAAAAAATCACAACTAGCAATAATTTGATGATGGAAGAGGGCTCTCCCACCTGCTGGATAGGGCATTTGCCCAGGAAGTGAGCGATTTGGGACCTCAGGTTCTCTCACCTAGAGGGTTTGGAACATGCATCGCCCACTTCCAAGCCAAGTGGTTCAGCCATTAAGTCATGGCCCAGAGTACTCTCCTGCCCTCCTAGCAGCTGGCCCACTGGATATCCAGCACAAGAAGGAATCCATTTCTAAGCACTTGGAGGAGAAGAAGGTGACTAGGAACAGTCAGCATGGATTCACCAAAGGCAAGTCATCCCTGACCAACCTAATTGCCTTCTACGATAAGATGACTGACTCTGTGGATGTGGGGAGACCAGTGGATTTGGTATACCTTGATTTTAGCAAGACTTCTGAGATTATCTCCCACAACATCCTTGCAAGCAAGCTAAAGAACTATGGGTTGGATGAACAGACTGTAAGGTGGATAGAAAACTGAGTGGAACATTGGGCTCAGAGAGTAATAATGGCTCGGTGTCTAGTTGACAGCTGATATCAAGTAGAGTGCCCCAGGGGTTGGACCTGAGGCTGGGTTTGTTCAAGATCTTTATCAATAACCTGAAAGATGGCATAGCGTGCATTTTGTTCAAGATCTATATCAATAACCTGAAAGATGGCATAGCGTGCACCCTCAGCAAGTTTGCAGATGACACCAAGCTGGGGGTATCATTAGATATGCTGGAGAGCAGGGCTAGGATTCAGAGTGACCTAGACAAAGTGGCAAGTACCTTAACCACTAGGCTCAAAAGATGGAACGGTCTTTTAATAGTGTTTTTCCTCCAGCAGTTGATGAAAGTGAAAGTATAAAAATGAACAAAGTAAAAACACTTCTCACCACTAGCAAGTTCTGAGGAATATTTTTTCTATAGGACACAATTATTATTTAAATTTTCTGTTGAAGGTCACATATTAAGCTGTCAATAGCAACTTGTCCATAAGATTATTTGATACCTGATATTGTCATTCTTTTTTAAATGCCATTAGTATTACACTACAAAGGAAATTCAGTTTACCGTTGTAAATAGGTCACTTTTAGCAAGATGGTCACCTTGTTTGTTTTCCAAAGTATTGACTAACTCATCTATAGACTTCTAAATTCACCCTATCAAATAGCGTCTCTGGTAGGTCTCCAGAACCACAGAAAGTAGTCTAAAACCATGTATCTAAAATCCAGATTTGAAAAATGTGTTTGCCCTGGGTAGTAGTCAGTTTTGTGCCTTTTGAATGAATAATTATGAAGGCTTAAACAACTCTTCAATGTTAGCCTTTAGCTATCTGCACAAATTTCTCTTGACATCCTCATGTGTTTCAGCTCAATCTGGAGACTTCAGAGCTGAGGTAAAGGCACCAGATGATCTTATCCCCAGTATGATTCCCAGCAAACATACTGAATTTATTATTTGAGACAGAGGAATAGAGGTTCCTCCTGTCAGACAGAGTTTGAGGGATCTACAGTATCTGTTTTTAAATACTTTTCACAGAAATAGATTTAACACTTGCTTTCTCAAATATTTCCTATTATTGATTATCAAAAAGGTTCACTTTTCTTTAAAGGAGGCTTTGTCAAGTTAGCAATCTAAAAGAATGACCTAACCTTTATTGCCAATGTTCAAGTAAAATTAATAATATCTATTGTCTTCTTCGTCCCATTTGTCATGATAAATTCCAGTATTCGGTGATAAATATTCACTTCTATCTAGTAATTGCTATCCACACTGCAGAAAGAAAATTCCAGAATTTGAGAACAGTGTATCTGTAGCACTTTCACCTGCCCTCATTTCCTTACAGAATCTCAGTACCACCTCATATCCCCTATTTATACTTCTTTAATTGCTTTCTCATGAGAATCTTTCATATAACTTCTTATAACTAGATTGAGTAATCCATAACCACAATCTAATCCCCATAGCAGACTTGAAGATAATCAAACCAGTTTTTCAGATTCAGAAGGTCAGTTTAATGATGCCTCTCTCCAGGCAAAAACTAAACAAAATATCAATTAACTTCAGTCAATAAGATAAACTGTTGCCTTCAAAACAAATGTATTTTTTCTTTAACTATCCATGGAATAATGTCTTCAGCAGTGTAATTTATGTAGTCAAGCTAGATAATTCTAAATAAAACTAAAAGTCTTAAATTTCAATCGTATCTAGCACACAAATGTAGCCAACTGGTATGAGGTAACAGGAACGTGCTAAAGAACATGTTCTTGGATACCTGTGATTGCAAAAAACCATTGCCTTCAGTTTGTTTCTGAACACTTGCTTACAAGTATAATTTTAGTTCTACCATTTATTTCCGCTTCATTTTTAGTACAGAGGAAAATTTGGCGGGTTCTGAAAGACCATACAAAAATATTCTTTGTATTTGAACACAGGCAAGTGAAGAAAGATAACAGCTGTCACAACCCAGTGATTTTTGGTGCCTCGGCACAGTGGGATTTTCTTGCCACATGAGAGCCTCTTGCACAGTGAGGGTTTTGCTGCACGGAGAAGCCTCGGTGCAAGAGAGTTCCTGCCAATTTGCAACCTTCTTTGCAGGGTGCATTTCTTCTTTGCAGCACAGAAATGCATGGTACAAAGAGTTCCCGCTATTCGAATGTAAATTTGTGTCCTGTTATTGGCCAGTGCTAAATTATTCACACGTGGCGGCTAGTAATTGGCTCGCTGGCCGTTTAAACTTCCGCGCGACTTCCGCCCAAGTCGAAGAACTTTGAGCACGCTGCAGAGTGCCTCTGAAGTGATCTGACTTGCGGCTGCCGATCGATAGACTGATCACCTATCGATCTTTCTTCCCGTCACCGAGCGCAACCCCAGACGTACCCCTTTCCCCGCCGGCTTCGAATTGCGGACGGATTAACTG